TAATCCAGAAATGTCCATCAGGAATCACTTCCGCATCTTCGCTAATAATCTGAATGTAGACGCCCAGAGACCAACCATAAAATGCTGATTAACTCAAATGTCTCCTTGATCTTGCAGCATCCATCCAAAGTTGTTTAAGCTTTTAGTGGCTTTTTTAAGGAAGGTAGAACCCAGCTCCCCCCTTTTTTACACAGGATGTGCTGTCCCTCAAAAGTTTAAATTAAAAAAAATAATCCAATTGGAAGCTTTTTGCCCAGTTGTTAATTTTTGAGACCCCCAGAAAGGTTTTTTACAGGGATGTTCAGAGTGTTAATCTTTACATCTCTTAGGAGAAGGACAGCACCCTCCGTGCCCAGCCGCTCAGCGCACGTATCGTCTTGTCTCGCAAGGATGAGTCTCTGAAGGTTAGCAGCGACCCATTGCTGGCCCGACTACGTACCTATCGCTACAGCACGGCCGCCACGCTAGCCATGCTGACAGGCCAGTCAACTAGCAGCACGGCCACCAAAGAAGACACTTGTGAGTCACCCTCCCTTTAGGTTAACTTGTTGTAGTCATGTTAAATCATGAGTGTATGCATTAAAGGGCAGTTTTGCAAATGGAATAAACGAGTACATTGTGCTCCGTGTTGTGCTTTATGTAACTCAGCTGAGATTTGGAGTGGTGTTAAACTTGAAACTCTTATTGTTCATCTTTAGACTCAAACGATGTGCTTGAATGTCTGACATGAGCCAAGATTTGGGTTTTTGCCAGCGGACTGAGACACACCCTGTCTTGAGAGAGTGTACCGTCAGATTCCAATCATGTTACGCAGAGCTAAGATTGAGATGAACTGACCTAGGATTCCCAGTATTAGAGATGCAACTTTCAACCACTTTGAGAAAAGTGGAAGAAATCGTACATGTCATTAGAAAAATTTCTTCAAAGTTGTCAATAACTGGCCGTGAGCAAACTCAAGTACGTCTGACTAGCTGTAGTGGCACATAATTGTGAAGTGAAATGTTACGCTTATCCCTCCTTTGCTGAAGTCACTCTTTGGGTCATTTGGTGAACACCTCAAAGAAGCACAGCTGTGTCATGTTGTGCACTGCACCAACAGTCCCTCACAGGAATATCAGATTGCACTTTTGTGCTGCCCAACAACTGTGCTTCACTGTTTCATGTGCATAACTGTGCAGTAAACCAAATGCAGTGAAGAGGACTGCACAAAAGACCCTGGGTCATTTTGTACTGGCAATCTACTGTGTACACACTGAACCTGTGCATGTTTGAGTTCCATATAGAAAATACATGCTCACCAGTGACTGTGGGCATTTGTGCACATTTGTGCTGTAAAACCAAAGGAGGATTAATCAAGACTTGGCTATGTAAACATGCACACTCTCGAGCACATTTTGACAGGCGTGATGTGACCTACGTGTTGCGTTGATAATGTCAGAAGCGTAGTCAACATGTCTGCGGCAGTAGGGCACAACGGTGTACAACACCAAATTCAGAATGAGTTGGATAGTTCCATTACAAACACTGAGTATTCTAACATTGAAGATGTTCTCTTCTGGGCCTGCACACTTCAGAATAGCTTCTTCCAGCTTAGAAAAAAGCTGGGGCACTGCTTGCTCTGACTTCAACCCTAACAGTTCTGCATAAAATTGGGCTTGCAGTACTCAGTACTACAAAATACTAAGTAGTAGCTCGATCCTGAAGGACCTAGCGCTAGAAATTACTACTTCTGGCTAGGTTACTTCCATTGTTACTCGTACAGAGAACAATAAAGCCATGCATTCATAGTGCCAGAACACTGTGTGGTACATTGTCTTATCTAATGTACTTTATGGCTTCAGAGAACAATATGGTCATGTCCTCTTACAAGCGACAGCACTAAATATTACATTTTTACTACTAAGTAGTATTTTGTTAGGGCTGTTAGGGTTAAAGAGACTTGCAAAGGAGCAGTCTGAAAGGAACAAAAGTCTTCGAAAGTTCCAAGTGTATCCCAAAAGAGAAATTCTAATAATTTAAATCTAATAGAGCAAGCTTTGCTTGGATCCTATTGGTAATAATGGACCGTTCATATGAAATACATTTCACACTATCTTAATAGGCCAGTGTCACATCTTGGAGAGTGACAATGCTGCATAGCAGTGTTGTATTCGAGTCCTTGACAAGTCCAGTCACAAAGCCCTTCACAAGGCCAGTTGTAAGTAACAGGGTGAGCAATGACAAAGGAATGCTTCTGTCACAGCTCATTTGAACAGCTTGTGAATTGGCTTAAGACCGAATGACTTGTGATGGACTTACAGGGACTTGTGATTTAGTCGAATGCAACACTGCCGCATAGGTCGGTCAAGGCTACTGAGTCGAGAGGCAAATTCCCGAAGGTTTCCAGGCATAATAAATCCCCTTTTCTTCCCTGGGTCTCATCTGATTTTTCCAGCCACGACAAGCTGTGGCCTGACCCTGAAGCTGCTGCGCAAGACCCCCATCTTCACCTGCGGCAACAGCGTGGTCATGCTGACGGCGCCCCCCGGCAGCAACAGCAACTCCTCCTCACGCTCCATCTTCAACGCAGGCTCAGGTCTGTCTGCGGCACGAAGTGAGACTGGTGGAAGGGTCATGTTTCCAAGGGGACCTCGATACTAACCCGGCTCATTAACCACGACATTGCTCTGGGCTTTGGTTCAGCCCTTTGCTCTGTCCAAATATCAGGGCTGTGGCTAGAAGTAACACATGCCCCTATGAAGCCAGTGACTGTGGCTCATCCCCGTAGACATGCATGTTACTCCCAGTTGTAGCCAGTTAATTTAGACACCATCTTGTATTTAAACTAACCTGTCAGACTTAACATCAAGAATTTCAATTCTTAATTGTGAGTCAGTCATTCACGCTGTGTTGATGGTAACGCCATGTTGGAAAACTCTGAAGAGATACTGCAGACATTAGCCAGAATATATCAGTCTTGGCTTGGGGAAACCAGTATAATTCAGCCCTATGTAGGTTCTTAATAAATCAAGAAAATGTAAAAATTCCTGGCTTCCTAGGGAAAGATATAACCTTTGGCATTTTGACAAACCAATCCAATACTTTACACTAGACGTTGTGGTTCATTTTGGTTAACACAAAACGATACTGACCTTTGAACTCTCATCATTGAATTTAAATAAACAGACTATAAATTAATGGCTGTTGTTTGTTTCAAGTCGGGTTTGAGGGAAAATCTTTATTCTTTGTAATATTTTGTAAACTGTTATATAAAGTTCTTAATTTAACCATGAGTGGTTCATGTTCTGATGGCTGTGAACTGTTTTGTTCTTGCTGAATTATCATTTAAGAAAAGGTTTCCTTGAATGGATATTTAAATCAAATCAGGTTATTTCTAGGCTGGAAGCACAGATTGTTCCGTCATTGCATCCCCGCCTTGTCCAAGTGTGCTTGGAATTATCATGGGGATCTTGAAGTTTTTATAATGACACATTTTTTTCTCTGCTGTTTCCGACAGCCCTAGGTAGTAACTTGTGCTTCAGTGCCAAAGATGGCAGCTTCAACACGCGTGTGGACTTTGTGGATGCGCCCACCTGCTCTGTGGCCAGGGGATCGCCCATCGTTGGACTCGGTAAATCACTTCAGCGATTGGCTTACATTTTAGCCTCATAATGCTGCTTTGCTTTGGGATTTTTGGAAAAATGTAGTGACACGGAAGTTGGAAGGAAATTGAATAATGCCAGTTGAAATCTTGCCATTATAGAGTGTGGAAAATGGGAAACTCTGATTTTTGGCAAGTTACAAGAGAATTTCTTGGAATGGATACATTTTGATTATTTGCACTGATGTCATACATTGCCCAGGGATCTCCTTTTTTTCATCGTTTTGATGTCACGGCGTCCAATCTCATATCAAGTACCGAAGTGAATACGTCACATGCGCAATTAGTGTGTGAAAGGCATTAGTGCTTGAACCAACACGCGCGCGTACTCCATTCGTTTGCAGTGCACTTTCTGGTTCACAGTGACGTCACACTTCGGTACTCTATTCAGTGGACTGTTATCTACAGATGCAGCTATCCATCAACTCCTAGAAAAATGCCCCTCGCGGCTATATGCAGCTTGCTTGCGTTATTGTATTTAAGTTGACAAAACAGTTCCAGATTACAGAGAATCAAGCATAAAAAAACACTTGCCAATAGATCGCAACAACAGTGCCTTGACAAGCCAGTCAAATAATAAGCCAGTCTTGGTTAAGACAAAGAACTTAACTTTCCTACAGCGGTTCTGAAGTTGGCCTGCTCATAGTAAAGATTAACTAAAAAGAAATATCCAAGGGGTTACCAATCATGTACTGTTGCATGTACGCATTAGTGTGTCTTTGTAATCGTAATGCATGTAGCTCTGACCAAACTCTGTCCTAAATGCTAGGTTTGTGGGGTGAAATTTGAATTGCAATATAACTGGGTGATCACCGCCAGAGAATTCAGCCCACCCTTTATTCAGTGCTCTCCCGTTCAGCACATTAAGAAGTTTCATTACAGCAATGCATAACACAACACTGGAAAGATACTAACAAAATTCCACATGTTGATCATTTCAGGTCTGTCTTAGCCAGGCTAAAACTTGTAGTTTAGAGATCAACTGATAAATGCCTGTTACGGCTGGCCTATACTCATGGACGGTTTGAGGAATGATTACTGCCATCCAACCCAGGTTGGAACCGAAGCCTTGCTGCTTGAGGGTGCCTGAAAGACAAGTCAGCGACTTAGCCAGTTGTGTTTTTTTAAACTGTGCTGCGTTCTCATCGTCCACCTCCTGTAGGTGTGTGCTACGATGCAACCAACAATGTCATCTGGACGTGTTCCAGCGACTGGGTAGACCAGTGGCATAACCCTGGCCTGAGAGCGCCCCACCACGTGGAACAGCAGATGGGCATGGGACCTGCCCTTGAACCTGTCCCGGAAGGTGAGGCAGAGGGAATTGAAATCCAAACGGTCGTAATCTCTGCTAGTGTTTGTGGTTTGTGCATACTCAGTAGAGGGCGCTGTTCCTAGAGGCATACACACCGGGGCAAGTTTGAGTGTGAGCCGTGGTGTGATCATTATGAAATCTGCCATGTGGGAGGCAGGATAGCTCAAATGATAAGCGCTTCCGGCATTCATTTTTTGGATGCTTGCATTTCTCATTGTTTAACCCCTTGACGACAGGAATTTCTTTCCGAAAACCAACTCCAAGAATTCCAGCCTCGATTGGCCATGAAGGCCACCTGCCAAACTGCAAATTCTCGGTTTGTGGCCCTGCGGGCTCTGCACGCTTTGAATTACTCAGTGAAAAGGCTGATTGTTCGGTGGCAAGTGGCTCTACTCACCCTTCCACATTCCTGTCGCCTCTTTTCAAAGTGGGGACTAATGTGAAGCTGGTGATTATGATGCAAAATTGGTCTTTTCATTTCTGGGCTACGCACAAAGACCAATTACCATATATACAAGGGCCAGGATCTGCCTTCTTTCACCGTGTTCGCTCGAGCATGGGCCGAGAATAATAGCTGGAAAGCGGGCTGAGGATCTCCATTTTTACGCCAGCTATAGCCGCTTCCCGGCGTGAAGGGGTTAAGCAGTTGACACCATTTTGCACAAGTATTTTTGTTGTGGTCCCCTCTTGACAGAGTTATAAAACACAGCAATGTGAAACCCTAACTGTGCCCTAGTGCTTGTTTCCAAATCGTTGACGAGAATATTGCAAGTGGCTAGGATTAGATTAAATTTAGCCAAACTGCGGTGGACCATAGTTCACTGTGATGCCGTGACTGACTCCAGGTTTGCACCATTTAAGTGTATGTAGTATGCCATTTTAATAATATGTTTCAAATGTTACCTTTTTGTGCTATGCGACACTAGTGAGTCTAGGGTAAACCTTTCAGAGTTAAATTGCAAACACACTTGACTCGCTTAAGGAGGGTACCATCAACCATGCTACACGGTGAATTGTGTTTGATAGACCAGAAAGTACAGGTAGGGAAAGGGCCTGTTGCATTGTACACAAAGTAAGGGCCGTTTGCTTGAGCCGCGCCAGTTGTTTGGAAAAGCTTTGACTCTGTTAAAATGGGTTTAAATGAATCAGATGCCAAAATTAATGTACCCTTTTCAAAGCTTTTACGCTTTGTGTCTGGTTATTTTGGATGTAATTTACAACTCTGAAGTTGGAGCTGGAATCTTGATTCGAAATTTGAATAGCTAAAGATGGAGGAATCTCCAGATTTAAAACCAAATCTGATGTTCATAAAAGACGGCCCGTGAAATCTGCTCAGCATCCACATCCCTTGTCTCTTCTCATTCCCCCCACCCCCAGACTCGCTGATCTCCATCCCCGGCATCGTCAAGATGCTGCTGCACCACGTGGGCAGCAACTGCTGCCACCGCATCCACAGCGACATCCTGCAGTCCTCCCTGGGCCAGATGCTGATGCGGCAGCGCACGCTGGACGTAATCCACCTGCGCCGGGTCGGCGACATCCTGGAGCAGGCGCTGAAGAACGGGGACCAGCCGGCCGCCCAGTGCATGCTCATAGTCCTCCAGGTATTCAGCAAAAAACAGTCTAGCCCTACGGACCTTATTCCTGAGGAAGTCATTTTTTTATCTTCTTCATCGAATCAGTTTTATAAACTGTCGAATGGGATGGTATCAGACTATTTTAGAATTCACATGGGTCCCAAACCTCCATTTAATTTTTGTTCGAATCTTGCATAAAACACTAAACTGTGTTTTATCGTGTTACCAGGTTTGGAGCTATGAGATGAAAAAAGGAAGATTTTCTTTGGACCTTTATTGTTTCACAGAAACGTTGCTCATTGACTTTTAATGACATGTCAATGAGACAAGATGAAGAGCGCCCTCTATCTTCTAAAAGTCACGAGTAAACCTAAAAAAAGTTGGGGGGCCTCAATTCTGATATGATTTTGAGAGAATTTGATGTACATTGTTCAAATAAGGCAAAATGCATAATTCATTGCACATTTTAGCATAAAATACATTTACTCAGGAAACAAGAGGCTGGTAAAGGAAATGGGCTGGTAACAATCACATATGAACTTATTATGTCATTCTCAAAACCCTCCTTTGGTTTTACAGCACAAATATGCACAAGTGCCCACAATCACTCTCCTGCACGTGTTTCTGTATGGAACACAAACATGCACAGGTTCAGTGTGTACACAGTTGGTTGCCAGCACAAAATGACCAAGGG